CAGCTAAACCATGGAGACCATGCAGGAACTGATCCCCTTTGCCAAAGAGATGCTGAGCCAGAAGCCAAATCGGAAGATGGTCAAAATGTACATGCTGGGAAGCATGCTGGCTTTTGTCGGGGTGGTTATTGGCCTGGTGGAGAGCGTCTGCAGCCCTTTCACCTCTGAGGGGAAGCTGGAGGACGAGGAGGTAGAGGAAGAGGAAAAGAAGGGATCTGCTTCCCTGGCCCAAGAGGCAGTTGTTCTCCCACAACAGGAGGAAGTAGTCTTGGAAAAGAGCAAGCAGGCTCTGGCCCTGAGGAATTCGGTGAACAGGCAGCGTGCATCGTAAGACCATCCAAAGAAATCCTAAAGACTGTCTGAGTGAGTGAGGACTTGTGACCTGCAGAATGCCAACACGAGCTCACCTGCTTTGTACAGAAGCCAGGAGATTAGAACGCAGTCCTGTATCTGTAGGAGAAACTGCACACTTAAATGGACTCTGAACAAGACTCTTTATTTTGCTGCTGTGCAGCAGTCGGACACAGCCTTTGAAATCTATGTACCTGTTCTGTTGGTATGAATATGTGAAGCTTGTAGCATCTTGTACTTCCCCGTATGGGGTTATTTTTTATTATGATTTTACATGCATTTTACACTACATTTTAAATAAAATATTTTTTACCTAGTGGAGTTGTGCATGTTGCATGGGGAATTGCTGGCAGCGTGGGGGAGGAAGGAATCTCTTGCCAAGAGCATTTTAAAACAGTTGGGTTGGAGGGTGGGGGAGTCTGAAAATGGCTACAAAGGAGCTAATCCTAAATACAAATCAAGTCAGAGAAGTCAATCAAGATTAAATTCCATTGGACTCTTGCATTCAGTAGAGTTCTCTGGCCCCCTAGATTTCAAGGTGACTTAGTTTGGACTAATTTTTGTACCAGTATATGGAAGTCTCACTTATTTTACCGGGTCTTTAATATCAGGAAATGTGTTGCAGCACAGCCAAATATTTATTGCTGCAAAATATACAGCTGGTTTCAGTTGTAATGGTTCTGGTTTCAGTGGCACATAATTAAAGTAGGCCTTGGAATGGGTATTGGGATGTATACTCCTGAACACACATTTGGAGATAGTCTTATTTCCAAATGAGTGTTAATTCAGGCAGTTAGGCAGTCTTAATTTGGAAGCTACCTGTCTAAATTAACACTCATTTAGAGATAGTTTCAAAATGCAGGCTGCCTAACTGAATTAACAAGTGTCTTCCTTGGCAATAACAACGGTAATTCAGTAGAACCTAACATAACACGTATCAGTATTCAGCTGATACTGTTCTGTTTCTAAAATATTTGGGTGATTGTATTGGAGTTGGCAGAGGTTTAGGGGATATCAAAATGGCTTGCCTTTCCTAGCCCCATCTGCTTTATGGGAGGGGGTAGTGGCTCAGTGGTGGAGCATCTGCTTGGCAATCCCCTACTTAAGAAGATGAAGTAATGGGTGATGTGACAGATCTGAGACCCTAGAGATCCACTGACAGTTTAAAAAGACATTATTCACTGTGATGGACCAAGGGTCTTTTTCAATATCAGGCAGCTTCCTGTATATTTTCAGTTCTCTAAAACCCTATTGAGATGATGAATCTCGCTGTGTGCATGATATATAGGGGTGCAGAAACGCCCTTATCCTTTATAAACATTTGAGAAGAGTGCAGCTTTAAACAGATACTTCAACCACTACACCACAGCCTTTTTGTTGTGCCCAAGAATGCTAGGCTAGGGTCTGGGAGACCTGAATTCAAATCAACTCTCTGTTATGGAGCACACTTGGTGACTTCAGGCTAGTCACTCTTATCAGCCTAATCTACCTCCCAGGATTGCTATAAGGATAAAACAAAAGGAAAACGACATACGTGACTAAGCGCTCCTTAGAAAAAGAATGGAATAAAAGTGGATCTTGTTCTTTAGGGCTATCCTAATTCACTACACTTCTGTTACTCCAAAAAATAAACCACACACCTGAATTTCCCAGTTATTCCATAACTAAATACTCTTAGTTGCAATGAAATCATCCAGTGAGTGTAAGAAACATCCAAGATGACTCTAAGGGGATTTTACTCCCAAAAAGGACTCAAAAGAGGTTTATATCATTCTCCTGTTTTCCAGGTAATTTTATTTACTATACTTTCCACCTTTCTCACAGACTCAAAGTAGATTAGTAAAGGTAAAGGTTTCCCTTGCTCAAAAGCCAGTCGAGTCCGACTCTAGGGTTGCGGTGCTCATCTCCGTTTCAAAGCTGAAGAGCCAGCGCTGTCCAAAGAGGTTTCCGTGGTCATGTGGCCGGCATGACTAAACACCAACGCGCACGGAACACTGTTCCCTTCCCACCGAAATGGTACCTATTTATCTACTTGCAATTTCTTGCTTTCGAACTGCTAGGTTGGCAGGAGCTGGAACGAGAGACGGGAGCTCACTCTGTCATGCGGCACCCTGGGTCTCGAACTGTTGAACTACCGACCTTCCACAGCCTGCAGTTCAGCATCTTAACCACTTGAGCCACCGCAGCTCCTCAAAGTAGATTACACAGTGTAAATTGATAAAATCACTATGGAGAGACATCTAATGAGCACTGTACTAAAACTAGGATTACAGAAAGCAGAATAAGCATAGCATATTAGCATGATGCAGAATGCAGATATTATGAAGAAAAATGGTATTGCATCTGTAGAAAACAATGGCAACAACAGTAATCTGCAGCAAACAGCTAGGGTTGCCAGCCTCCAGGTGGGGCCTGGAGCTCTCCTGGGATTACAATTGATCTCCAGACTGCAGATACCGTTCCCCTGGAGGAAATTGCAGCTTCAGAGGATGGACTTTATGGCATCACGTCCCTTTCACAAATTCTGGCTTCTCTAGGAATTGCCCCCAAATGTCCAGAAATGTCCCAAACCAGAGTTGGCAACCCTATATCCTTTTCCCTTTATACAGTGCCTTCTTGAACCGTTTTGTTATAGTATAACCCTATCAAATGTATAGAAAAGCCCTCCTGAACAACTGTGTTTTACGCACTTTGTGGAATGACAGGAGCATGGAAAATGAGCAAAGCTGTGTCATGGTGGAACGTAGGAGAGGAGGCAATTCTGCAGAGATGAGGCTCCAGGGCCATGGAGGACTTTGTATGTAATAGTCAGTACTTCGAATTGAAGCTGGCAACTGACAGGTAGCCAATGGAGTCACTGCAGAATGGGTATAATATGCGTGCTCCATCCTCACATGAGCTGAGTTGCAGCATTCTATCCCAGCTGGAGTCTCTGAGCTGACTTTGCGAGCAGACCCACGTGGAGTGCATTATACAAGTCTAGTCCTGTTCTGTGGCATGGATCCAGGGGGGCAGATCTGTGGAGTAAAGGTAGAGCTATCTTCCAGGTCAGGTTGCCAGCTTTGGGTTGGGAGATTTGAAGAGATTTGGTTGTGGAGACCAATGCTCCCTCTAAGCTGTGGAGTCTTGTGAGCAAAAATTCTACTTTGTGAGCTACTGGCATTAAAGTTGTGAGCCAGCGATTTGGCTACTGCATGAATTAGTTTCCTCTGGAGCCACCCTTTCTGAGCTAAGATAAAAATGTGTGAGCCAGAGGCTAAAAAACTGCGAGCTATCTCACACTAACTCCGCTTAGAGGGAACAGTGGTGGAGACTGGGGGGAGTGGGATTTGGGGAGGGGAGGGACCTCAGCAAGGTATAGTGCCATAAAGCCCACCCTTCTAAGCAGCCATTTTCCCCAGGGGAACTGACCCCTGCAGTTTAGAGATCTGTAGTCTGATCTTTGTCATCTGGAGATTACTTGTAATTCCTGGAGGTCTCCAGGCACGACC